CCCGCCCGCCGCGCGCCGCCGCTGCCCCCGGCCCGAGGGGCTCCGCGGGGGGGGCGCCGCCCCTCACAGCCCCCCCCGCCCGCCTCAGCCGGGGGCGGCGGCGACGAGGCTCACCCGGTGCGCGCGGGTCAGGCTCAGGTCCTTCATGACCTCCTCGAAGGCCGCCGTCTCCTCCGCCTGCTTCTGGTTGTGCAGCGCGATCTTCTCGCTGAATTTCCGCGGGTTGTTCGAGGCCGCCATCTTCCCCCGTCCGCATCCCCCTCCCCGCGGCCGAGGGGGGGCGACGCGCATGCGCCGGCCCAGGGAAGGGGGGGCGGCCGCAGGGCGCCTGCGCGGCGGCGGCGGCGGGGCGGGAGGGGGCGGTGAGGGGGCGGAGGTTGCGCATGCGCTGTCCCGATCCTGTCCTGGTCCTGTCCCCATCCCGGCCCTGGTCCTGTCCCCATCCTCGTTCCTGTCCCGATCCTGTCCTGGTCCTGTCCCGATCCTGGTCCCGGTCCCGGTCTTGATCCCAATCCTGGTCCTGTCCCGATCCTCGTTCCTGTCCCGATCCTGTCCTGGTCCTGTCCCGATCCTGGTCCTGTCCCCATCCCCGTTCCTGTCCCGATCCTGTCCTGGTCCTGTCCCCATCCCGGCCCTGGTCCTGTCCCCATCCTCGTTCCTGTTCCAATCCTGTCCCGGTCCTGGTCCTGGTCCTGTCCCCATCTTCGTTCCTATCCCCATCCCAGCCCTGGTCCTGGTCCCGATACCCATTCTGGCCTTGTCCCCGTCCCCATCCCGGTCCTGTCCCCGATCCTAATTACTGTCCCCATCCCTGTTAGTGATGCTCCCACTTCATGAAATGAGGAAAACCCAGGAGGTGCCCCACTTGGTTTGTCAGGATTTCATGCAAAAATCACCTGTAACTGCAAAAAACCACCCTGAGTTCTCCTCCACGCCTTGAATTATTTATTTTTAACTCCTTCAGTGTGAAAATGGGGCTGTGACCCAGGTGAGGGATGGGCAGAGCGGAGCTGGGGCTCACACCGGGATGTGCAGCAGAGCGGGGATGCTGCAATAATTAACAATTCCCCCAGATAATGAGCGGGGTTTGGGAGCTGGCTCCTGCCTTATCAGCGACCCGGCAGCTTCAAAGCACAAAAGGACAAAGTGGGCTTTCCTCTCATCCTCGGGGTCTTCCCGCGGAGTTGTCACCTCCTGCCGTTGTCACCCGGCTGTTTCTTGTCCCCTGCTGTGTCCCCGTGCCCTTTGTCATGCCAGGGGTCGCCGCCAGCCTGGGGCAGAGGGGGATGAGGAGCGGAACCCCAGCCAGGTGAAGAGCTGAGCCTGAGCACTAATTAACACGAGAAGAGAGAAAATCGATGAAGCAAAGGCGGAGCGTTCATTAATAAAGAACCCGGTGACTTGTAGCCCAGGAGCTGCGATTTTTTTGTTTGCTAAAAAAAAACCGGTGTGGAGCTTTGAAACTCCTCGGGCTTGATTCGTGGAAAACTTCTGCAGAAAAACCTGCGCAGAATAAACTAAACCCTCGATTAGAATGTCCCCAACGTGTCCCCGGTGCGGTGCCCACCCCAGAGCCGCTTTAACCCCGATTTCTCAGCGTTTCCCACAATTATCCGGCTGATGGATGGCTCAGCGCTCATCCCAGGCTCGGGATTAGCCACAAAGTCACGTCCTGCCCTAAATCCTGCCTGCCAACTTGCACTTAACGTTTCCAGCCGAGCTGATACCATCTCGGGAAGCTCTTCCAGACCTGGCAGGACCAGCCCTCCCTCCTGGCAGATGTTGCTCCGAGCGCTTCCTCGCCTTTCCCACCAGGAATAAACACCATTTCCCCCTAAAATCCCCCTCTGGCTGCGTACACGAACAGCACATGACCTGCAAAATGGGCCTGTCATGCTAAAAGCACATCAATCACTGAGATTTACCGGGGAGATACTGATGATCCTCATTGTTTTCACTCGAGGAGCGGGACAATGATAAATAATTGGTGCAGTTGTCCTGGATTTCATCCCCGAGGTGCTGATATCGAACATCTCCAGCCCCAGCTGCCACTCTGCCTCTGCTCCAAGATGAAGTGCCTGAGATGGAGCTTAAATAAAATAAATTCTCCCCTTTTGGATCTCCTGAGATGGGATCTCCACTCCTGCTCCCTGGGAAGGAATGCAGATGGAGGCAAGGGGAGGGGGCTGCAGCTTCCTCCCCTAAAAACCTCCCTTAATTCTCATTGTTTCCCCGGGCAGCTTTATCAGATCGAATTCCAGCGTGAACCTGGAGCCTGCTTCCTGAAATCCCCACCTTTTAGCCGGGTTTGCGGCCAGACTTCTCAAGTTTGGGGCTGCTGGACCATCCCAGGCACTCAGAGCCCCAGGTTTTGGGGTGGCTCTGGGGCTCCTGCCCCTGCAGGTCCGGGTGAGGGCAGGGAGAGGCTCTGGGGGGCCAGGTCTCCTCCTGTCCCCAGGAACTGGGAATTGTGGCACTCCTTGGACAGGGACTGAGCTCTTCCCTGAGGGTCGTTTCTGCCTCCTGCCTCACCTCGAGCACAGCTGGGGCCATCTCTGAGCCCCACCTCACCTGAATGGCCTCATCTCACCTGAACTGCTCCATCTCACCTGAACCTCTCCATCTCACCTGTACAGCTCCATCTCACCTGAACTGCTTCATCTCACCTGAACTGAACAGCCCCTTCTCACCTGAACTGCCCTATCTCACCTGAATGGCCTCATCTCACCTGCACAGCTCCATCTCACCTGAACCACCTCACCTGAACTGAGCTGTTCCATCTCACCTGTACAGCCCCACCTCACCTGCATGGCCTCATCTCACCTGAATGGTTCCATCTCACCTGAATGGTTCCATCTCACCTGTACAGCTCCATCTCACCTGAACTGCTCCATCTCACCTGAGTGGCTCCATCTCACCTGAACTGAACTGCCCCATCTCACCTGTACAGCTCCACCTCACCTGAATGGCTCCATCTCACCCGAGCTGAACTCCCCCTCTCCCCAGACCTTCCCCCTCTCCCCAGAGAGCCGCTCAGGGATCCCCCACTCCTCCTTCCAGCCGTGTTTGGGAAGGGATTTTGGGAGCTGAGCCTCCGGAGCAGAGCAAGCCGCCGGGGCCGGGGCTGCTGCGGGCACAGCTGCCAGAACTCCTAAATCCCCGGGCAGATGTGCTGCAGGGAGGAGCTGCTGTGCTCTTCTCCTTTCCTCGCTGGGTTTCACCCTCCAGAACCCCCTGGCAGACAAATCCCAGCTCCTTCCTCGCAGCTTTCCCAGGCAGGAGCGAGGCTCAGGGCCTCCCACAGCACCAGGGCAGCGCTGAGGTTGCGCTCTGATCCTCAAACTGTTCCTCTTTTTTTTGCCCGCAGACACAAAGATTTTGATCTTTCACACTTCCTACTTAACGTTCCTGTTGACATTCCCATTATCCTCGGAGAAGAATATCCTCAGAGTCCCCCAGTTATTTGGAACCGGGCTCCAAACCGTGCTTGGAGCAGGAAAACATTCTCTTGTTTCACTTGGAACTGGCGAAAATTTCTTTAATTTGTTTCCGGAGGGCAAACAAAAGCACCTGAAGCACTGTGCCCCCCAAGAGCCCCCCAGATCCACTCGCACAGAGGGTTGGCTGGGCTGCTGCACCAATATTCCCTTGCCACACTTCCAGCCCTGCTCCTTCACCATTCCCTGTGGATTCTAAAATTCCAGAGAGCCAAGCGAACAGCGACTGCCGGGAGGAATTCATTCTCGTTTCCACACCTCGGGTCTTTTTGCTGCCAGGAGGAGGGGTCTGCTCCTGGTCCCTTTTCCCAGGGTCGGGGCTTGGCTTTGTTCCACAGGGGATGGAGGGAGAATTCCTGGGATCCAGGGATGTTCCTGGAATGGAGGGAGAATTCCTGGGATGCAGGGAGAATTCCTGGGATCCAGGGATCATTCCTGGGATGGAGGGAGCACTCCTGGGATGCAGAGATTGTTCCCAGAATGCAGGGATCACTCCTGGGATGCAGGGAGAGTTCCTGGTATGCAGGGATTGTTCCTGGGATGAAGGGAGAATTCCTGGTAGGCAGGGATCATTCCTGGGATGCAGGGAGAATTCCTGGGATGGAGGGATCATTCTCAGGATGCAGGGAGAATTCCTGGTAGGCAGGAATAATTCCTGGGATGCAGGGAGAATTCCTGGGATGGAGGAAGAATTTCTGGGATCCAGGGATCGTTCCTGGGATGCAGGGAGCACTCCTGGGATGCAGGGAGAATTCCTGGGATGGAGGGAGAATTCCTGGGATGCAGGGATCATTCTCAGGATGCAGGGAACATTCCAGGGATGCTCCTGGGATGCAGGGAGAGTTCCTGGTATGCAGGGATTGTTCCTGGGATGAAGGGAGAATTCCTGGTAGGCAGGGATCATTCCTGGGATGCAGGGAGAATTCCTGGGATGGAGGAAGAATTTCTGGGATCCAGGGATCGTTCCTGGGATGCAGGGAGCACTCCTGGGATGCAGGGAGAATTCCTGGGATGCAGGGATCATTCTCAGGATGCAGGGAACATTCCAGGGATGCAGAGATTGTTCCCGGAATGCAGGGATCACTCCTGGGATGCAGGGAGAATCCCTGGGATGCAGGGATCACTCCCAGGATGCAGGGATCGTTCCTGGGATGCTGAGGTGATTTGGGAAGCTGGGAAAGCAGCAGCCACCCCGTGCCTTCCCAAAGGCAGAGAATTCCATGTGGGAATTGCCAGAGGCTCAATGAGGGGGCACCTGACAGTCCAGGAGGAGAAGGAGCCACGGGAAGGATGGAAAGACACAATTTCCAAGGGATGGAGGGACAGGACACAGGGAATGGCTGCCCACTGCCACCGGGCAGGGATGGGTGGGATTTTGGGAAGGAATTCCTGGCTGGGATGGAATTCCCAGAGCAGCTGTGGCTGGCAGTGCCCAAGGCCAGGCTGGAGCAGCCTGGGACGGTGGGAGGTGTCCCTGCCATGGCACCTTTGAGGTCCCTTCCATCCCAAACCATTCCACACTCCTGGGATCCTGCTCTGGTTCACATCCCACTGCAAATCCCAGCTCTGCTCTGCCCATCCCTCCCCTGAGCCACAGCCCCATTTTCACACTGAAGGAGTCAAAAAGAAATAAATCGAGGCGTGGAGGAGAACTCAGGGTGGTTTTTTTTTTGCAGTTACAGGTGATTTTTGCACGAAATCCTGACAAACCGAGCGGGGCACCTCCTGGGTTTCCCTCATTTCGGCGGGAGTGGGAAGTGGGAGCATCACTAAAGTTGATTTTCCAGCAGGAGACCCAGCAGCCACCACGGAATTCCTGCTTTTGTGGCTCCTGGGAGCTGCTCCCCTTGCCCAGGGACATCTCCCCCTGTCCCAGGATGCTCCAAATCCAATCCCATCCAACCTTTGGGCACTTCCAGGGACGGAGCAGCCACAGCTGCTCTGAGAATTCCATTCCAGGACCTCCCCACCCTCCCAGAGAAAGATTTCTTCCCAAAATCCCATCTGAATCCCCAGCCAGGCTCCCTCTGACCCCCCAGGAGTCAGGGCTGACACACAGAGGGCACCTCTGCCCATCCAGGGGTTAATCCTGCCCCTTCTCCATGGGGAAAACTGGAAAACATGGAATTTTCTCCCTGAGAAAACCCCGAGCCCAGGCTTTTGGCAGCCTCCCCTGACGTGCAAACCCCAAATCCTGCACAAAGGAGCAGCCCAGGCACGTTACCTGCACCCCGGGGCAACCTTGTCCCTTCCACCCTGGTGAAATTCAAACATTCCTGTGCAATCCAGCTGGAAACCCTCCTGAAAAATCTCCTGGAGGAGCTGAATGCCAGCATTGATCCTGCCAGGGTCTCACTCTGCATCCTCAGGAGGATCAAACACCACCCCAGGCCACAGCAGAGCGGGGGAAAAAAAAGCTCAATAATTTTAAAATAATTTTAAAGCTCAATAATTGCCAGCTCTGTGGGCAGGCCCAGATTAGCAGCCTGCTTACAAACATCATTTAACCACATGGAAAATAACTTTCAGTGCAGTTTGCAAAGCGCTGGGACCCGGATGATCAAAAAAAAAAGAAAAAAAAAGATGAAATCTAATAAAGGATCCATTCTGCTTTAGCTGCTCCTGATGTGGTGCGAGCCCTGCAGCCAGCAGCAGGCTGGGCTGGTGGCCTGCACAAACAACCCCCCAAAAAAAAAGAGATTTTCATTTCTTAAGAAGCCACATCAACCAGTTTCAGCTAATTACAGGGGCCTGGGTGTGAAAGAGCAACTGCAAAGCCTCAGGGACCCGGCCAAGAAGCTTTGATTTCTCTCTCCAGCTTGTAAAACCTTCTGAAAACTTTTGCCTCGGCAGTTTTTCTGCTTCCAGAGGATGCCAGAGTGGTGTGGGCTGCACAAGGATCATCTGGGGGGGCACCTTCCACTGCCCCAGGTCACTCCCAGCCCCTCCAGCCTGGCCTTGGACACTCCAGGGCTGGGAAGTGTCACCCTCCTCTTCGTCCTCAGCCTTTTCCTGAAGCTCTGAGGCTGATTTTGGGACAGGGATTTTGGGCACAGCTCGAGCAGCGGCTGTTTCCCAGCAGAAAAGCTCATTTTGTGCTCATTTTCAGGAATCCTGGGAGGTGGAGCAGTCAGAAATGAACCTGCCCCACAAATAAAAGCTGGATCTCCTCTCCTGGAGCTGAGTTACCAACCAGAGAAATGCCAAAAAGAAGTGGTGCCTGTTCCTGGAGCTCAGTGAGGAGTTGGGAAGGAGAAACAAAAGTTCTGCAGGCTGTGGGATGCTGCTGTGCCCACTCACCATCAGCATGCAGAGCTGTCTCTGCACGGAGCACCTCGGGGGGAGATTTCTGTGCTCCCAGGTGGGATCCAGGAGAGATGAGCCCTCCTTGGAAGGCCAGCTCTGCTCCCTCCCTCTCCTGCCAACACCCCCAGCCTGTGAATTTCTCCAGCCACTTCCACTTTTCCTGCTCCTTCAGCCACCAGTGATGAAATCCCATTCATTTGTGCAAGCAACTGGAAGATTTATTGTAAATAAAGTTCTGCACATTACACAACTGGCTAAAAATCATAATTAGAGCTGCACTGGGGAACATGTTTTATTTATCCTGACAGTAGTCTGGCTCCAATAATCCTGCCGTGATAAATGTCCCGAAAAGTTTGTGGAGTTTCAGCAGCTCCAGCCCTTATCACAGCCCTGGAAGTGGGAATTTCTGCCTGGGTTTGATGTGGCTCCCACAGCAGCACTCCAAACCAGCACCGGGCTAACTGGGAGCTGCTGGGAGTGCTCTTGGTTCTGTCTTAACAAAGACATTGAGATTTTTTTTTCCACTGCTGCTAAAAATCTTGCAGGGCTGCAGCCACGTCTGAGCGAATTATCCGGGTTCTGGGCTAGGGGGAAGTGACAGAGGGATTGGGAGCAGCAGACCCTCTGGAAGAGGGTCAGTGACACCATTAATGGGATGCAGACATTCCCCATCTCTCGCTGCTCTCCACCCTGCCAAGACTCCCAGCGCTGCCTTTATGGTTTTAAGCACAATTTCAGGCCCATAAAACATCAGAGGAGACAGGAATTATTATCCCAGGAGCCTCTGGAGGGACACAGGGGCTCTGTGCTAACGATGCTCCGGCTTCTCCTGCTCCCCATCTGCTCAGGGGCATTTCCAAATTTACCCAATTCACCCCCAGGGTTTTTATGGCTGCCCCGAGAGCCATAAAGGACTCTGAGTGCAATCAAACATCGATCTGGCTTTGCTCATTCCTCAGGAAAAGAGGAGCCCAATCCACCTCCCTTCCACGTGGGGCACCCTGGGAAGTGTTTCCACACAATCCCATCCGTATTTATGGGAAAACCCTCCTGAAAGCATCAATTATTGAATGCACCAAAAGCACCAAAGCCATTTATTGTCAGATTATCAGAGAGGTTGTGCCCAGCCCAGAGCCACAACTCCATCCCCTGCACGGGGGGTCAAGCAAAATTTACGATCCAAAATATTTATGGTCCACAAATATTTGAGTCTCTGCTAAATTTAGAGCGGCCAGAAGATTTCCAGCTCTTTTGATGAGAAATAATTATTTACTTTGCTATAAAAAGAACATTCCAGCAACAAAGAGCAGCAGTGCTCTGATCCAGAGACCTCCAGATTCTTTCCCAGCTCCTGCTCCTCAGTGGCAGGGAATAGGAATGGCAATCCCAGGCCAGCTTTGCTTCATGGCAGGCAATTGTTTAATAAATAGAATTCCAGAAGGGTTTTGTGCATCCTCCTGTCTGCAAAACAACACTTCCTACAGGAATGAAGACCTGGATTACGTTTATTTTTGCAAGGCTGTCCTTAAAAGTGAGACCAAAGAGGCTTTTCCATGTTTTCCAAGGATGTTCCTCTTTCCCCCCAGCACACACACACACACACACACCTACCTGAGAAGCCTGAAGGGAAAAATAAAAAAATAAAGTTTGGTTTCCTCAGGAAGAGATTCCAGGGATGGGCTCCACATGGATCCCTGGGGTGGGAACCATGGCTGCACATCCAGAGAAACTCAGGGATCAGAGAGCACCCAACCATCCACTGCTGCCCCAAGAACTGGGGAAAAGTTCAGATAAAACAGGGAGGAATATTTAAGTGCTGTAGAACCACGGAATCCCAGAGTGGTTTGGCTTGGGAGGGACCTTGAAGCCCACCCAGTGCCACCCCTGCCACGGGGACACTTCCCACTGTCCCAGTGCTCCAGCCTGGCCTTGGGCACTGCCAGGGATCCAGGGGCAGCCCCAGCTGCTCTGGGCACTGTGCCAGGGAAGGACTGATCCCAAACATCCCACTTGAACCCCCTCTCTGCCACTCTGGATGAAGGAATGCCACCGTCAGAGGGGGACAGAGCAGATCCCGCACGCGGGAAAGGGAGGAGCAACCTGAGAAATACCCACCTGAGAAATACCATTTTTATACACACGTGGAACCACTCAGCAAGGAAAATCCGTTCTTTTGGAACTGTGAAACTTGAGCTGAGTTCCAGTTCATCCTCTCAGCATCTCCTGTCTCTGCCAAGCCCATCCCGGGCGTTTCTGGCAGCCAGGCCAGGCCAAAGGAACAGAGAAAAGGAGTCAATGAAGTGCCTGAGAGCCCTCCAACTGCAGCATTCCACACAGCAACACGTCCTTTTCATCAGTTTATTACTGGCAAAGCAGCAAATGAAGAGGAACAGAGGAAATTCTGCCTGGCTTTTATCTGAAATTCAGAATGCGAGCACCCTGCACCCTACCCGGAGCTGCTCTGGTCCCATGGATTCCAGAAAAATCTCTGAGCTGTGGAGTTCATGCTTCACACAAACCTCTCAAGGATTCATCAGCACACCAGACATTACAAGTTGTCACTAAAGGTTGCAGCCCAGGATTTATTTCACAGCAGAATGCAACAGCTTCTCTACAAAAGGAGACCGTGTGCATCCAAATCAAGCTGACACAGATACAAAACAAAGCCCTTGGAAACAGAATTCCTGATAAAAGCAGAGATTTTTGCAATTCATTCGTCAAATTAAATAAGGAAAATGGCTTGGAGGAGAGGAAAGTTCAGGAAGTGTTCTGTGCAGTGAAGATTTTACAAAAATGGCAGAGCCATCTTAAACCAACCTCTTAATTTAAAACACCACCACAACAACAAAACCACGTTCCACTGGGACTCCCATCATTTTGGGATGCCAAGCAGCTCATTCACAGGGCAGAGAAGAAAACCTTCCAGCTGCTGAAGGAGTAGCACCCACCTCCTTTACTGGAGGAAGAGTTGGGATGAAGGTGCTGGGAAAGGTGAAAACCCTGACCCAGGATCTGCAGGAGCTCTTGGCTTCACTGATGGACGACTGCAGAGCTTTTATTGCCAGGGCAGCCAAATTTTTGGCACTTCTAAACCCAAATAATCATGCCTGTTTATATACAATCAAGCTTTCACCATGGCTTTAGTGCTGCAAACTCTGCACGCCCCAATTAAGGGAGAATTTCTGCACTAGAGGAGCTGGAGGGGGCGAGGAACTGCAGCGTGATCCAAGCAGTGAAGACCAGAGGTGTGCAGGGATAAATATTCCCTTTTTCAGCAAGGGAAAAAAAAGGAAAAGTCACCTTTGAAAAACAGGGATCTGCCTTCCCAATCCAAGCACCTGAGCTCTTGTAGCTCCCACTGTCCTTTTATTGCTTCTGGAGGTCAGTGTGTTACACAGGTTTTGGTTTTTATTTTTTTTGTTGTTGTTTGCTAAAAAAACCAACAAAGCGACGCACGATGATTTTTATTTTTGGAGCTATTGATAAAAAAACCCTCACCTGATCTCTTGGAAACAAGACCCCAGTGCTGAGTGACTCCTGAGCTGCCAATGTTTGCCGTGCGCGACGCCGTTAAAAATACGAAAAGTCGGCAAAATGCACCCCCCACCAAAAAAAAAAAGGCTGAGAGAAGAGGAGAGAAAAGCTTTTCCCAGCTGTAACATCTGTTCAGTCTGCCTGGCTGACAAGTGCTGCTGATGGAACTGGCGTGCCAGGACTCCCAGAAGGAGAAGGGACTTTCTGGAGCTGCTCTGTCCTTGCCTCTCCCACAGCCCCAGAGCCCCCCGGAGTCACCTCTGGCTCGTCACCTGCGGGAGGATGACGGGGGCACAGGCAATGCCAGCAAAAGACTCTGGGAAGTGCAAGTCCCTCTCCCACTCGTCTGTCTCTGTGTTGTACACCTGCACGATGCTGGTCACGTTGTTCAGGTGCCAGTTGTAGCCCCCCACGATGTAAATCTTTTTCTCCAGGAGGCAGCAGCCCGCCTCCGACTGCCCCGCGCGCATCGGGCTCACCGTGGTCCACTGGTCCGTCTCGGGGACGTAATATTCCACGGCCAGGACGTCGAAACACCGATCCACGTGGTCCATGCGGCCTCCCAGGGCGTAAATCCTGCCGTTGGCACTGACCATGGCGTGCAGCACCCTGGGCTCGTTCATGGGGGTCTTAAACTCCCACTGATCGGCGGCGGGGTCGTAGCAGTGCAGCGCCTTCTTGTCCTCCACGGAGATCCCGTAGCCCCCCGAGATGTAGAGCTTGTCCCCCACCGTGGCCCCGGCGTGGCCCCACGTCCTGCGCTTCAGGGAGCACACGTAGGTCCACTCGTTGTCCTTGGGGCAGTACTTCTCCACCGAGGCCAGGCTGCCCGAGCGGTTGCGGCCGCCCGTGGCGTAAACCATGCCGCGCAGGACGTTGAGCTGGAACTGGATCCTGCTCTCCTGCATGGCCTGGATGCGCAGCCACTGGTTGAGGTGGGGGTCGTAGCGGTAGGAGACGTCCACGGCGCCCTCCCCGCTGCGGTACTGCAGCTGCTGCCCTCCCACCAGGTAGACGAAGTTGTCCAGCACGGCCACGCAGGAGTGGCTGCTGCCCACCTCCATCTCGCCCAGCTCGCGGAACTGGCGCCCGCCGGCGTCGGGCAGGCAGAAGACCTTGGGGCTGACGGTGCGGTCGTTGTCGGTGTAGGGAGTGCCGCCGAAGGTGACGAGGGACAGCACGTCCGAGCGGATGGCCGTGCGCGGCGACTGCATCTCATGCTGCCGGAAGGGCAGGATCTGGTAGTTGAAGGCTTCCAGCAGGTACTGGCGGCACAGCACGTCCTCCACCATGATGTCCAGGGTCTGCACGCTGTCCACCAGCTCCGAGGACTTCATGAGCGGGAAGCGGATGTGGCAGAGCACCCGGCTGGCGCTGGCGCGGCGCGCGGGGTCGAACTGCAGCCAGCGCACGGCGGCGCGGAACAGCTCGATCTCGCTGCAGCTCTTGAGCTTGTTGCTCTGCAGGAAGAACACCAGGCGCTCCAGGGGCAGGTGGAGGAAATCCTCCTCCTCGGAGATCTGCAGGAAGTGCCTGAAGGTGAAGGCGTCCACGGATTCCTTGAGGGAGGCCAGGCTGAAGGTGGTGGCCATCTGGCCGATGTTGAGGCACGTCTCCACGCTCATGGCGGACTTGAGGAACTCCTCGCACAGCTCCACCACCGGCACCATCTGCAGGAAGACGGCGGCTCCCAGCACGTCCTGGATGCAGTCGAGGTCCAGAGTGACCTCGGCGCTGTAGGCGAAGTCGATGATGTGCTTCAGGCCCTTGGCAGAGACGCCTTTGAGCTCGATCACGTCCTGGCTGGCTTCTCTCATCCCGCCCGTGAACATCGCCCTGCAGGTCAGCAACACAAACAAAAAAAAAACCCCCCCGGCTTCAGCAAAAGATGCAGCACCTCAGAATTGGATTTTATTTAACACTCTGATTCTCTCGGGGTGGGGAAGGGGGGAATAAATCAAGGCTAAATCTCTACGAGCCAGGAGGAATGAGAGTGTGCAATGACTTACATAAGGCTTGCATAAACAGCGCACTGAGGAGGAATATTCAGCAACTGGAGAAGTTTTTCAATCCCACTGGCAGCAGGAATAAGAGCAGACCACAGGACCAAGCTCCAGCAAGAGGCAGAGCTGCCAGAGCAGGGAGTGAACAATTCTGGACACCAATGAATACGTGATATCCAACCAAAAAGGATCCCACGGGATCTGCACCAGCAGGAGCTGTACCCTGAAGGGTTTTAGGCTTAGGTTTAGGATTTGGGAGCACAAGGAAGGAACACACCTGTGGTGGGAGGCCAGTGATTCCTGGCAGCGAGGTCTTTAGGCTCTGTTATCCTGTTACCTCACAGGGAACTACGAAATGGCTCAAAAATTGCAGGTGCGACACATCTCATGAACAGCTTTGGTCTTCCAGCAGAACCTCCCCTCCAAGGCTCCTTCCCAAGGCCTGAAAAAATGGGAGCTGCAGCCCCTGCAGCAGGGGGCTGACAGGCAATTAAACAAAAATGGGGGGAAAAGGCTCAGTTACAGCACAGCTGCGAGCACATCACTCGCCCAGGCCACGCAGAGCTCAGGCCCTGGATCACCTCCTTGGGAGGCTCCGAAATTCCACAGGAAGCACATTCCACGCCGAGGCCTGGGAGGCCACAGCTCCCAGCTGCACTTGTGGGGTTTGGGCCCTTTTTGGCCTTTTGGGCCATTTCCAGCCCCTTCCAGAGGGTTTTGTTGCCCAGGGGTGGCTGGGGGTGAAGGTTTGCACCCCGTGGTGCTCAAGGAATGGTGGCAGAGCAGTTGTGGGTCAGGCAAAGTCAGAGCAGGTGACACGGAGTGACACGGGGTGACGTGGAGTGTCACCACTCCCTGCCACTGCACACACGTCCCAGCTGTCCATGAAATGTCACACAAAAGGTCTTAAAACTGCAATTTTTGGGCTGTTTTTTTTCCACCTGGCAAGGTGTTTTTGTCCATGGGAAAGGTAAATCCGTGGTGTCACCAGAGCTGCCTGTGCTGACTCCAAGGTGAGAGTCAGCCCCAAAAAATGCTGACCAGACCCTGCATCCACACGGGAATAAAGGAATATCTTGGGAACACTGTCAAAAGACAGGAGTTCCAAGTTTCCTGTCCAAACCAGGCTAGAAAACCTGCTGCCGTCCAGCATAAACCCAAGAAATCCTAAATGACCTAAATAAGGAAATATCTGCATGTGAGATCAGCCTGCTGTAACCCAGTGACCAGGAACGCTGTTCCCAATTATTTGTCCGTGCAGCAGATGAGAGCATTGTGCAGAAATCCCAGCACATCCCATGTCCCAGCCCTGATCCCTCACCCCAGAGGACACCCAGCCACGTGTGTGCTCCTGCACCAGCTGAGCAGGGAGAGGAAAGCCTTTATTGTTGCCATGCTGAAGAACAAATCATCAACTAGAATGCAATTCCTTTCAAAAGTGTTATGGTTCTAAAGTGCTGATTATATAAATGCCTCAATTTCACTCTTTTCCCTCCCCCTTCCCGCAGGAAAAAAAAAAACCACAGAGTGTTTTCAAAACCTGGATTATTCTGCCGTTGTTCCCCAGGACAACCTTCCTGAGCACCACTGAAGTTCTAAGGAGGAACCCACTCAGCAATTAGATTTTGACAGTGGAACCACCCTGGCAGTGGCCCTGCACCCAGCAGGGAGGAATCAAACAGTGCCATCATCAGCATTTGGGGGAGAGCAGCTCCAGGATTAATTGTGTGCCAGCTCAGTTTGGAGCCTTGGAGGTGTCCAAAAATTCCTGGACATGGCACTCGGTGCTCTGGGCTGGTGACAAGGTTGAACTTGATGACCTTGGAGATCTTTTCCAACCTCAACCACAACTCAGAGATTCTGTGACAGAGGAAAGATGGATGAAACACCTATTTTCACTCAGGACTGAATTCCCTGCCCTGCAATTGGCTCCCTCTGCACTAATTTGGCTGCAGGAACTCCTGGCAGTGCTTTGGTTTTCAGCCCACACCAGCTGGGACAATTCACCCAGACCTTCTGGGACCACACTTGGTGCTCTCAGCCCAGGGGCAGGGAGCCCTACAGACAGAGCAGTGGTGGCTAAAGAGAACAGGAGGATGGCATGCCTCATTTTGGAGCCTTCACTCCACTTCCAAATCAGCTCAAGTGGCTCCAACAGCACCAACACCTGCCCAGGTGGGGTCAAAATCTGAGCTTGGGCTCCTGCCTTGGCCCAGCAGCTGCAGTGGAACAAACCTGAGTGCAGAAGGACTGATCCTGAACCTGCCTGCAGGACACCCATGGAGCAAACCAAACCTCCAAAGGCTTCTGTAGGGTGGGACTGTTGGGGTGTGGTGGGGACGTTGGGGTGGGGAGGGTGGGGAGACAGCAAACCCACGGGAAAGGTGAAAGTGCCTGCTTCCCTATGGGATTCTCACCTGAAATAGTCACTGCAGGCAGCCAAGACAACTTTATGAACCTGAAACACTTCATTATTTATAGTGAGGATGACATCAAGCAGCTGAGCCTGGGCTCGGAGCGAGGCCAGTCCCTGCAGCAGCGTGGTGCTGTGGCCAGGAGCAGAGAACGTGCATTTCAGGGTGCTGTTCTTGTCAGCCATGCTAAAAACAGAACAAGAGAGACAGGCTGGTTTGAGATGAACACAGAATGTCAGATACCCACCCAGCCAGATGGGGACACACGGCAACTGGCAGCAGCTGGAAGGCAAACTCCCACCTCGACAGCCACCCAGAGAACATCAGCACCTCGAGCTCCCTTCTCCCAGCACAAAACACTTCCACGTTTTCCAGATATCCTCTGGCACTGCTGACAGCCCTGCAGCACACATGGGGCTCCAGACACCACCCAGACATCTCCTGGGGCCACAACCTCTGAGGAATGTTGGTGTCTCCACTCTGGGCTGCCCCAGAGTCCAGCCTGACCTCGACTTCAGCCACAGCACCGAGTCCCAGTTGCTGCTTCTCCTCACCACCTTCCCTGCCCGCAGCTGCTGGATTCCCTGCTCTGGCCAAGGAGAGCCCTGCCAGCCCCATTTGATCCTTCCCTTCTGCCTGACCCCCAGGAGAGGAGCAAAAAAGCAAAATATTGCACGGCACTGGCTGCCCTGAATAGCGTCAGCTGTTTGAGCTGCACTGTCAACAGTCCCCTCCCAGCGTAAACATTTCCCTGCTTTTCCCAGTGCCTCTCACACGTGTTCCCCAGCAGCATCCCGGGATCTGCCTGCCCTCGGATGCACTTGTCAGTGGGAACAGCAGGAGCCCTGCTCCAGGGGAACAGGCTGTGGGATGCTCTGCAAAGAACTCCAGAACCCACTGCAAGATTCCCTGAGCCCGCTCGTGGGAAATCCCAAATTCGTTTGCAAGTTTAATCCAGCTCTGACTGACTTTTCAGGATCAAGATCCTGTGTGCTCCTGGGGAGAAAACACAGGGATCAATATTCAGGATGAGGCTGATGTTTCCTGGAGCATCCTGCTGCTTGGTCCCCGTGTTTTTGAGGAAATGTTTTATGGAAACGTGACCTCAAAAAAAATCCCAAGGAGATTATCCCGAGTCTGGGAAGGTGTGTGAGCTGCTCCCCAATCCACAGTGGGAGAGTGCACTTAGAGGGAATTATCATCACTATTATTATTATTATTATTATTTAGGTGGAATAAAGCAACGGAGCCAAAAAGGAGTAGGCTGGGTTGAGTAATCCCGGGGTTTGCTCCAACCCTCCTCCCTAAGAACTCCCTGGAACAACAACAGCCACACACAATGGACCAAACGAGCCGGCGAGGTCAGGGAAGAGTCAGGGAGATGGGATAACAAAAAAGGGGATGTAAACAATCCTCAAACAATAGGGACAAGGGACAGGGCTCGCTCCTATCGGGTTGCAATTTCCTGCAAGCTTTAGGGAGAGGGAGCGAGGGGAAATCTGGGATGTCCATCAGAGCACTGGGAGGCAGCTCTGGAGCTCGCTGGGATGCACAAAGCAAACCTTGGCAGGCTGGTTCAAGCTCCTCAGGCTTGGGAATGCGCCTCAAAATCCATGGGAGCTCCTACTGGGACGGCTGGTGGTGCTCAGCTGGGGTAGGGTGGTCTGAAATGCCCACCCTAAAATCAAAGCACTCTGAAGAGCCTCAGAGCAGAGCGCGGAGTATTCCTCGCTGGAATAAAAAGGATTAGCAAAAAGGCAGCTGCTGACAGGACCTTTATCCACACTCTGCAAGCCAAGAAATGTCTGTCCACTCCGGCTCTTCCTGAGGAAAAAAAGAAGGAAGAGATTGGAGGGATTCTCAGCACGTCAAACCCCTTTCCCTCTCCTCGCTGGAACCTGGATTTGCTGGGGGAGGAAGGAGGAAAGGTGCAGCAGCAGCACAGAGTGATGCTCCCTCTGGCCACAGCATCAGGCACCCAGCAAAGCCACAGCTCCAGGCTGGACAGGTAAAATCCACAGGGATGGATCCAGCAGGAGCCCAAATTCCTGAGTTTGTTGTGACTTTGTCACATTCCATCTCCTCCAGGAGTCTCCTCATGGGAATTTTCCTCTATTTTTTTTTTTTTTTTTTGGTACTGATTTCAAACATTCCTCTTCCCAGCCTTGGGGTTCATCCCTATGGGAATGCTGTCCCTGGATCCACAGGCAGCACAGGTTCAAATAACGAGCTTCACCCGCACAAATATTCCTTTTTTTTCCTTTTCCTCAATTCACTTTTACAGGATTAGCTCAGGGCGGGTTGGCCCATCTGTGTGGAATAAAGGTGTTGGATGTGGGATTTATTTCAACAGGTAATGGAACAGCTACTCCAGGAAAAACTCCGTGTTCTGGCTCCTCTGTCTATTTACAAGGATAGAATAAAAGGATCCAATGATTACACAATACCCTGAAGGAGGAAAAAAAAATAAAACAAAAGAAAACCATCGCTAATGTCCAGCAAAAAAAAACAAAAGGATTTTAAGGAGGAAAAAAAAAAACCAAAAGGATTTTAAGGGGGAAAAAAAAAAAAAAAAAAAGCTGGGAACAAAACAAAATCCACGCAAAGCATGAAAAACCAAGCAAGGGATTTATGGAAAACAAAGGGAGAGGAGGAGAGGTGAGAGAACAGCACCGAGCGGTGTTTGCTCTGCGGGGAGAAAAAAGGGATTTGTGATAAGAGCAGGCTTGGCTGGACACGGGAGCACGCCTGAATCCACGGCCTTGGCTCCCACTCCAGCACCGGGAACGAAGGAAGAAGAGGAGCAGTTGGATGCCAGAGAGTGAAAAATAAATATATAAAAGCCCGGAGCACAAAAGGAAGCCTTGAACATGTGAGAGCGCCTTTGTGAGGCTGTCGCTATCTCATCCCAGATCTCCAAATGCCGTGTACTTGTTGCTTAACGATTTGTTACAGCAGGAACAGCCTGGAAGACAAAACTTGGGAAGAGTTTTTTCTCCTCCTCGCAGCTCAGAACGTGCCCCGGGAGATAAAAGCCTTTCAGCACAACAGGGAGAAAGTGTTTATTCCGCTGCTTCCCTTTCCTTGGGAGGCAGGGCTGGAGAGCTTCTGGAATTTTCCTTGGGATGCTCATTTGTCCTCAAAAAGCTGGAATTTCAGGGGGGTTTGTGTGCTCAGAGAATCCTCAAAAAGCTGGAGTTTCATGGGGGTTTCTGTGCTCAGAGAGTCCTTAAAAAATTGGAGTTTCATGGGGGTTTGTGTGGTCAGAGTCCTCAAAAAGCTGGAGTTTCAGGGGGGTTCCTGTGCTCAGAAAGTCCTCAAAAAGCTGGAGTTTCAGGGGGGTTTGTGTGGTCAGAGTCCTCAAAAAGCTGGAGTTTCAGGGGGCTTTCTGTGCTCATAAAGTTCTCAAAAAGCTGGAGTTTCAGGGGGCTTTCTGTGCTCAGAGAGTCCTCAAAAAGCTGGAGTTTCAGGGGGTTCCTGTGCTCAGAAAGTTCTCAAAAAGCTGGAGTTTCAGGGGGTTCCTGTGCTCAGAGATCCTTCACCAACTCGGCTCGGAGCAGGCGTGCGGCTGCACCCGAATTTCTCCGCTGGAAAGCCGCAGGACACAAAAATCACACCCACACCAACACCCCACGGCGGGTTATCCCAACACCCTGCCACCAGCAGGGCCTCTCACGTGGCTATTTTGGCACAAAGGTGGCTTTGCAGGGACAGGATTCCCACTTTCCATATGGAAACAGCTGTGAAAGGGATCTTTATACCCGTGGCACGCACGGCGGGGGCAGCTGGAATCCAACAGCGAGCCAGGAGGGCGATGCCTTTTGGGCAGCAGCCTCAGAGGCTCTGGAACATCCTTGGTACCCCAGTTGTAGCCAGGGAACGAGTAATGGGATTGAGGATTTTGTCTGCAGCCGCTGCCCTGAAGCCAGACTGCTTTCAATCCTCTCTGTGGGGTAGAGCTCAGCTTGGGGGAAACCGAGCCCAAGCTGAAGCCTGGTGCTCGGGGAGGGTGTGGAGGTGTCCCAGGGAGGGTTAAGGGAGTGCTTCCAGGCAGGGAAGGCAAACAGGGCCAGAGATGCTCCTGCTGCTGCACCCGGAGAGGAGTCCTCACCCCCCGGCTCACCGAGCTCGGGCTCTGCTCACGCATTTCCCAGCAAGGAACGCGCGGGTTTTGACCAAAACCAGATGCAGAGAGGAGGCACCTGGACACCCCAGAGGCCTCTGAGGCTGAGATGTTGAGGGCCACACTTCAGGAATCAGCTCAGGCACAAAGAACATCCCAAGAACAAGCGGCCCCTGGCGCTGCCTCCTCCGTTCCCCACGGCGTCACGTGGAATCCAAGATGCGTTTCGAGCTAATGAATCATTTTTACCAAATCTGCACTGATGATTAAAAACATCAAAGCTGGAATTAAAGGCTTACCAAGCATGAGTTCATATTTCAGCATGTTTGCAACCACTGCACAAGTACAAGTGGAGAGAATTAGAGCAGGACAGATTGTAACATTTTAGTGATTGAATTAAGGGAGAAAAATCTTTGGCTGCGCCATTGCCTGTCGTGTTCCTCCTCTTCTTTTACAACATGCAAGGAGGGGCAGCTTGGTGCTCTCCATCCCCACATTTTCCCACTTTTTGGGCAGGTGGTGCTGGGTAATTTTTCATCCAGCAGAAACTCGAGGGGGTTTGGCAGGATTCCTGAGCAGGGCAAACTTCCAAGAGCCAAACTCTTCCATAAGAGCTCCAGAGGTGGGACCCTGCAGGGAACGGCTGGGGGACAGGAGGGGAAGGGGGAAAAGCAGCAGAATGTGTGGAAAAGCACCACGTGTGGAGTGGCACAGCTTTTCCAAGGCTAAATTAAAAAGGGTTGGGGTTGCAAAATAGCCAACGAGGCACCTGCAAGGGATTTTTTGTGGTGAGAGAAGCAGAACTCCCATAAAGCTGGAGAGTAACTTTATTTAGAACATAAGGTATGAATATTAAGGACCTTCTTTAGGAACCTTTGACAGGCAGCATTATAGATATTTTAATAATGCAAATCATTTAATGCCTTTAGTTTCATGCCTAAGTAAAAAAACACATTTAGATTCTGATTTTTAAACTACAATTAAGACACTTAAAATCAAAACAAAAGTCAAACTCCCTCAGATAAGTCACTGGTAGCCATGGTGACTGTAATATTTCAGATCCTGAGGCTTTATATCACATGCCCAAACGATGAAAATGAGTTTTCAGCACTTCACACTCACAAATGCTACGTTAGGGCAGAAAGGCTGAGCCCTTCACTTGGATTTGCTGCTTCCCAGACTCTCATCTGGGATTTTGGGAGGATGTTCCTGTGGTCTTTGCATCCCTCTAAGAAGACACAGCAAGGAGTTTCCTTGGAAGTTTGGGGGCAAGGAAGATGAGGCACAAAAATACCTGCCCTGTTAACCTACTTCTGTTCCCAACAGCACTTACAGCGTTTCCTGGCCAAATTAGAAAACCACAATAAGCACTTAATGATTAGCAACTAATTAAATATTAACACTCTGAATGAAGGAGATGTTTTCCAGCGAAACATAATCATCCTCAAGAAAGATACGGGCGCCAAAAAAAAGTGTTTAATCGATTTCTTTGTTCCCTTTTCCAACTCCTTCCCTTAATTTCTCCCATTTCCCTCCTCTGCCTCCACTCATTTTCCACTCCTGACACCATCTCTTTCATCAAAGCAATAAATAAAAGGAGAGAGCCTGAGACTAATATCGCTGTTTAAAAGTGGCTGGCAATTTGCAGGGCTCAAATAAAGAGATTACAAATGGGGCTGAGTTTCAGGAGTGACACTTTGTGTGAAAATAATGGACCTCTGGAAAACGCCTCGAGTGCAACAGGAAAGTTTGAAAAGTCTCCAGCCTCAAAATTTAAGTGAATTTATTGTTTGGCAAAGGGAGAGCAAAGAAACATTCACTATTTAAGAAAGAAAAAAGGACAAAGAACAGCAAACAGAGGGGTTTTTTTAGTTCTGTTTCAGGGCCCCCAAGGCTGGTCTCTCTCCCAGCAGCTGGACTGGTCAGCACTGGCATGGGACTGGGCACTGCTGTGCCCCCACACTGACCACTGCCGGCCAAGCCAGGCCTGAGCCAGCCCTGCAACTTCGTGAAAACAGAAATTAAAGCTGGATTTTACAGAAGCCAGGTTCATTTTCCAGTGCTTTCTGTCTCAGGTCCTGCTGATCCCCTGATTTCTTTATTGCATCCCATTTCCTCCAGGCTGGAACCAAGGGCACCCTAGAGCCCAAAGGTACAGCAGCAAGAAGCTTTCTAATTTATTTATTTGTTAAATGTTATTTTTTTTATGTCCTTAGAAGTCTCAGACATTTCCAAAATCTCTGTTTTTCTTTTCTTCTGAGCCGGGCTCGCTCGGGGCCCAGCAGACACACACGAATTTTATTCTGCTCCCAGGCATCAATCAGGAGGTTGTTTGCAAGCCAAAGGAGGTGGGATTTTGGTTTCTGCACTAATAAAACTGGATGGCTGTCAAAAAGCTGGCTGGCCTGGTAAAACAGAGCAGCAAAAAAGTGGAGGGTGAAAGATGTGAACATGTTCAACTCTGCCACAGCTCGGGGTTTCAACGTGAGGCTCTGGGCAGGACACGCTGTACCCAGGACAAATTGTGGGAGGGGGGAAGAAAAACAGCAACAAAAAAACTCCAGAATCAGATTTTTAAAAGGTTTGTGTCACAGAGCCAGAGGCATCTTTGTGCTGGTGCAGTGGGAAAAGCAGTTTGGTGCTGGTTCTTCAGCAGCCAAAAGGACCAGTGGAGTCTCAGGTGAGAGGTCCAGGTTTGGACCCCAGGGCATGGAGGGGCAAAAATGTCACAGCGAGATTAATGACAAGGACTTGCCATTTCTCTTTTTTCATATTTAGAGCTACCACAGAGGGTTTTGTTCTGTACTGGGCTTTTTCTTCAGTCCAGGTGACAGCTGGAGAGGTGACACTCATCACCACCCATCCCTGCCCTGTCACCACCTGGACTGAAAACGGGGAGATGCTCCCCCACCCCACAAACTTAATGATTATTTTTTTGTCAGCCACAAACCTAATCCCTCTGAGCTAGGAACAAACAGAGCAAACACAAAAATCACTCGGAGCGTGTCCACCACAGTGGCAGGCACAGGCAGTGTGACAGCAGTGACAGAGCCAGGCACACGGGGACCCTCAGAGCGTGGAGTTTCCATCCCATAAAATCCATGTACACCCCCAAGCTGGGGCTCCTTACACACTCAGTGCTCCTTGACAGCTCTGCCTTAAACACTGCACGTTTCCCCAGCTCAGGGTCAAAGCCTGCAGTGCAAAAAGTGAAATTAGAGCGGTGCCATGTCCAAAATAACCCAAAAAAGCGAGCAGTGCCCGGCTGCTGGAACAGCCCGAGGGAGCAGCGGGTGCTCCTGAGCCTCTCCCAGCAGTGCAAAGGCCGGGAGGCACCTAGTGGTGTCGGGAAGCACAGCAGAGCCACCAAGGCCACCCCAAAAGTGTCACCTGGGCCACACAGCCACT